TATGTTTAGAAATGTGCTGAAAAAAATCTTCCCTCCATTAAACAGATATTGGAAAAAAAAAAAAAACATTGGAGCTAATAATTCAGGGGGGTTTAATAATTCTGACTTATTTAAATAAGGTTTTATATTTTGAGGTAAATTAGATTTGCTGGGTCTCATCAAATAAAACCTTTTCCTTAATTCAAAATTGCTATGTATTTAACTGTATTGAACTGTATTTCAAACCTCCAAAAAATAGAGGACAAAAAGTCTTTACAAAAACTTCCGATTGTATTGTTTATTTATTAAATATTAAATTTTAACTTTGCTGCCTTACAAACATCCCAGCAGACACACAAAATCATAAGAGATTTTAGGTTGTGTTGGAAAGTGGCCAAAATCCAACGTCAAGCCAACATCTTAAACCAACATCATATTGGCGCCAAATAATAACATTTATTTGTCAGGTATGGCAACCAAAATCTAACATCTGATAAATGTCATATCAGTAATGTCCACACAATGTCAATCTGTAACATCATCAGATGTTGATATTTTGTTTATTTTAGGTTGTGTTGGAAAGTCGTCAAAATCCAAAATCAAGCCAGCATCTTAAACCAATATCATATTGATGTCAAGTACTGACATTTATTTGTCAGGTATGGCAGTCAAAATCCAACATTTAATAGACGTCATATTGGTAACGTCCACACAACGTCAAGCTGTGACATTATTACATGTTGATATTTTGTTGATTTTTGGTTGTGTTGGAAAGTGGCCAAAATCCAACGTCAAGCCAACATTTTTAACCAACATCATATTGATATCAAATACTGATATTTATTTGTCAGGTATGGCAACCAAAATCCAACATCTGATAGATGTCAAAGTGGTAACGTCCACACAACGTCAAGCTGCAACATCATTAGATGTTGATATTTTGTTGATTTTAGGTTGCGTTGGAAAGTAATCAAAATGTAATGTCTGTCCAAAAAAAAAGCAATGTCCCACGACGTTAGTGTACAATGTCAATCTGATGTCATGTTGACATCCTGTGAATGGTGGGATGTGTTGACAGAACTAAACATAAGTTGATTCAACTTAAAGATTACCTATAACAATAATCAATTGAAAGCATTACATGGCGTTTAATCTTTGAAAACTTGAGTTTAAAATCCAAAACTTGTTAAGACATTTATTTGTTATGTATGGCAACCAAAGTCCAACATTTGATAGTAGCCATATTGGTAATGTCCACACAACGTCAATCTGTAACATTATTAGACGTTGATATTTTGTTGATTTTTAGTTGTTATGGAAATTGACCAAAAGCCAAGGTTGAGCCAACATTTTAAACCAACGTCATATAGACGTCAGATACTGACATTTATTTGTCAGGCATGGCAACCAAAATCAAGCATCTGATAGAACTCATATGCGTTGTGTCCACACACCGTCAAGCTGTGAAATTATTAGACGTTGATATATGGTTGATTTTAGGTTGTGTTGGAAAGTGACCAAAATCCAACGTCGAGCCAACATCATAAACCAACGTCATATTGATGTCATATGCTGACATTTATTCGCCAGGTATGGCAACTAAAATCCAACATCTGATAGATGTCATATTAGCAACATCCACACAACGTCAAGCTGTGACATTATTAGACGTTGATATGTTTTTGATTTTAGGTTGTGTTGGAAAGTAGCTAAAAATTCAACGTCGATCCAACATCTTAAACCATATTGATGTCAAATACTGACATTTATTTGTCAGGCATGGCAACCAAAACCCAATATCTGATAGACGTCATAGTGGTAACTTCCACATGTCAAGTTGTGACATTATTAGACGTTGATATTTTGTTGTTTTTAGGTTGCGTTGGAAAGTAACCAAAATGCAATGTCTGTCCGAGGTTAGACATTGACGTTGGCCTGACGCTGGATTCTGAACCCAATATTAATTTCTAATCAAAAAGTAATGTCCCACAACATTGGAGACAATGTCAAGTTGACATCCTGTGCCTGCTGGGATGAGTTGACAGAACTAAACATAAGTTGATTCAACTTAAAGATTACTTATATCAATAGTCAATTGAAAGCATTACATTACGTTTAATCTTCGCAAGCATATCAAACTTGAGTTTAAAATCCAAAACTTGTCAATTGACGATTGGAATTAAAGAGACGAAATATCTTAATGAGGTTGTAATGATTTACAGATCAGCAGTAAACAGCAGCCAGTGCTTCGGCAGGTGTAGCGTCTCAATCCACATCGCTTCTACTTAGCAGGCCGCTCATTTAAACTCAATTTTAATTGAGGCGACTAATTAGGTCCCGTTGCCAAAGTCTCCGAACATCAGAGCCCAGACCAGCGGAGTTCACATGCTGACAAACGGCCTGAAAAGGGCAGCTTTTTGGAGTCTCTCTATTAAAAGGGTGGACATGTGCAAAAACTGCAACACAATTAGCATCAAGCAGATAAGTCCTTCTCTAATCCTGTTTACGGTCGGCATCAGGCAGATGTGCCAAGATTGATTCGGACAGGGCTCCGGCTTACTGTAATGTAGCAGGGGAGAGCAGAAAGCCCCCCCTTTTTTTCCTCGGCCTCGTCCCATTCGCTCCCTCTGAGGAATCTTCCGGTACACAAGCGTTAACACGGGCCACTTTGTCATTTTCCCCTGCTCTCGGAAAGCTCTGCCGGGAGAGATTATCTCCTATTCCCACTAATTCAATTGACTCTGGGTTTTTGTCGAGCGACCACAATGAAACGAAGCTCCGGAGTTAAATAAATGGAGTGGTGGAGGTGTAAGAGAGGTTGGAGCAGAAGCCGGAGCAGGAACAGATGGCGACGGGTGTCCTGCGCAGTAATGTGAGAGGGTAGTTAATGTTCTGAAACGCAGAGGTGCTCCTAATGAAGAAAGGCTTTCACATGAGGAGAGAGAGAGACTCAAGATATACACAACTCGGCCCATTTTGAGGGCCGGCGACAGATTTGAGTATGGTTTAATTGGAGTTTGCCTGTGGGTAATCATTTATAGCAGGGGGTCATGAGAGAAATGGGATGCTCACTGAATAAAGTAATGGTGGGGTATCAGGTGCTGTTAAAAAGTCTGGATTCGCAGCCATTTAAAAAAGTTTGTTTGTTTTGGTTCTCATGGAAGATTTACAAGGATAGTTGACATTATTACAATGTTGCAAATATGCAAATTATTTATTTCTTGTTTGACAAAAAAAAAAAAGAAATGAACAACATAATTGTTTATAGTCATTGATGTTTATTGTTGGGCAAAAGCACTTTAAAACAGCGAACAGCGAAATGAACAGCCAACTATTCCGGCATATGTTTTATGCAGTGGATGCCCTTCTAGCTGCAACCCAGCACTGGGAAATACCCATACACTCATTCACACACACTCATACACTATAGCCAATTTTATTTACCCAATTCACCTATAGCGCATGTCTTTGGACTGGGGGAAACCGGAGCACCCAAAGGAAACCCACGCCAACACGGGGAGAACATGCAAACTCCACACAGAAATAAAAACTAGCCTAGCCAGGACTCGAACCAGCGACCTTCTTGCTGTCAGGCGACAGTGCTTACCACTGAGCCACCATGTCACCTGATAAATTTGTTTTTAAATTTATTTCATTATTGTTTTTTTAATAATAACTAGATTACAGCTAAGACATGATGATCAAAACTTAATCATTTAATAATTTACAGCAGGGGGTCAGGAGAGAAACAGGACATTCAGTGAATATAGTAATGCTGAGGTATCAAATGCTGTTAAAAAGTCGGGATTTGCACCCATTCAAAAAAGTATGTTTGTTTTGGTTTTTGTGGAAGATTTACAAGGATGGTTGACTTAGAAATTAAAGCGTTCATTATAACGACGTTCATTATAATGATGTTGGAAATATGCAGTAAGTTCTTGCTTGTTTGATAAAAAAAGAAATGAAGAACATATTTAGGTCAAAACAATCATATTTGGACTTCATTGATGTTTATTGTTGGGCAAAAGCAAAAAAAAACCCACTGTTGGGTTAAAAATTATTAGCATTTATGTATATATTTTTTAAAATAAACCAGAATTTTCAGAGTGTGTTTATACAAAAAAATATTATTTGACATAAGTATTTCCAAATCAGGATACTAGAATAAGTTCTAAGGATAATTTTTTTACTTTCGACTACATTAACGGCTGCTAAAAATTAAGCGTAATATCAAAGGATATGATATATGAAGCACTTTTAAAATTATAATAATATTGGGTCACACTTTATTTTGATGGTCCGTTTGTTGAATTTAAGTTACATTGCATCTACATGCCAACTAATTCTTATTAGATTATAAGTAGACTGTTAGGTTGGTTTTAGGGTTAGTGTAAGTTGACATGCACATGCAAAGTTTCTTATAGTCAGTTAAATGTCTGTTGAAGGAGCAGTATTAACATTAAGCAGCTCAAATGGACCATCAAAATGAAGTGTTACCTATTATTGTACAATATAACAGTTTTAACCATATTTTTATCAAATAAATGCAGGATTAGTGAGCATGAACAATGTTGAATAACAACATAAAAAATAACCCATGATATTAAAGAGTAGTAACAGATCTGTAACAGGCAATCAATCAATCAATCAATCAATCAATCAATCAATCAATCAATCAATCAATGTCACTACAAAGAGACAATAGAAACTAAAATAGGTTTTGTTTTATATTTTGAGTAAATCCGATTTGCTTGGTATCTTAAAATACACTTGAAAAAAGTCTTTCACCGCATTTCAAAATTGGCATATATTAAAATTAAGCTGAAAATAATTTCAAACTATATATGAATCTTAGTCTTTAAATTTAACAAGACATTTTATTACACTTTAACTTGTTAAGTGTTGTTGTTATGTGTCATATAAAGGTGATTTTTTCCCACTTTTTTCTTTTTTTTAAAGGGAGGGGGATGGGGCATAGATATATAATATGAATTTTAAATGTCTCTTGTGTGTTTGTTTAGCTGACCGTGATCTGAAGAAGCAGGAGGAGTATGTGGACCTTAAAGACGTGTTTGCAGTGAAGGTAAAGCGGCGGCGGTCAGCTGGACAGCAGTCTGGTGGGACCCTTCTGGGAATCACACTCTTCCAATGCAAGAAGAAAGGCCTCAAACTGAAAGATCATGCCATCCATCTCAACAACCTGAGCGTGGACCACTGTGAGATCTGGTTCAAAACCCTCAAAGAGCTCCTCAACGGTACGTTCACATCACAGCAGATGCACAGACACTGAAGAATAGGTCACAAAGCAGGCATTTTAGCATTATTTTATCAGCTTGGAGCTTCAGTGAATTTTATGATACACATTTATGACGTGCAAACATTAACCTGGTCAACATTTGGCTCACTTTATATTTTATTGTGTTTGCTGACATTTATTGAATAAAGATTACCCATCCCAGTAATGAATCGGACACAATTGCTCTGTTCCTGAAACTAGTGAGTGTAGCATTTTAAGTGCACTCTTAATGCAAGGTTACCTCAAGATGTTAGGCAACATTATTATGTTATACTGAGTATATATTGTAATATTCTTCTAAGTCACTTTTTATAAGCTACGTGGCAGCATGTAATCCAGGTTAACACTGACTAACCATATTCCATACACAACGCTGTTCTGTACAGATTACCTTTTAACGTCAATTACTGAATAAATACTTACAGGTCATAGACAAGCTATATATCTGTGTAATCTTTATTTCTTACTCTTTCACCCCCCGAGCACAACAGAGACCCTCCTGTTATATATTTCTGCTAAATTCAGTAGGTTTGCTATGTCCACCTAATGCGCTTAAAAATAGACAGTGGGCAAGCTAAAGGGGCGAGTGTCACTTGGGAAAGGAGACATTTAGAGCAACGACAATATGAATTTGCATTTGATTTATGTATCACACTATTACAGTCTTTATGAAATGAATATCATGTCATCAAAAATTGTTAGAAAAGTTATCTTTTGTTGAATGAATGCTTTGAAATGGGGATATTTAACCGTCAATTGTGGCTGATGACTGCATGGCGCAACTGAGAGACAGGCTGCAAACCCTGTTTGGATAATCTTTGTCGATGTCAATGTCAATTTTATTTATATAGCACTATTCAACACAACCAGAGGTTGACCAATGTGCTGCACAGTGCAAATCAAAACAGAGAAAAAACAAATATATATATATATATATATATATATATATATATATATATATATATATATATATATATATATATATATATATATATATATATATATATATATATATATATATATATATAAAACAGACAATTTTCACTGATAAAATTCCAAATCAAAGAGGTAGGTTTTTAACCTAGATTTTAAAACAGACAGGGATGAAACAGATCTCATACAAAGGGTCAGAGCATTCCACAACCTAGGACCAGCTACTACGAAAGCACGGTCACCTCTGCATTTCAGTCTCTGGTTAGATGACCGAAGAGGCCAACCAAGCTGATGCTCAATTAACATGTCCGACCGATAAGAAAGTGCCAGGCCATTTAGAGATTTAAAAACGTATGGCAGTACTTTACCCATATTTTCTCAAAAACTACTGGTCCAAAAGACATCAATCAAAATTTGGATCGTGCAATAGGCATTTACCCACAGAATGATCACACAAACCATGCTTTTTTTGGCTTTCAGTGACGGAGGAGTGGTTGTTTGAGTGCGCTGAATAGTATAATATGCATAGAACATGGTAAGTCAAAAACACTGAATATCCAAAATGACAAAGGAGGTAAAAGAAATACATATAACAACAGCTGGGTTATGTTTAGTGGGTGAAATATAGGCTAAATTATAATTATTTCCAACAAAAGGGACTAACAGAGATGTTTAGTTAAATGTGTATTAAAAAAACACAGGTAGGAATTAATATCAACTCCTGCATAAATAGATGTGTTTTTTATATATATAATTTTGGCTTTTCACTCATGAGAAATTCCATTATTGGCTGACTAATATGACACAATGCATTAACATGCACTAAACACTAATTCCACAGTAGGCTACTACAAACTCATAACAAACATAACATCTCACAATATACACGTAAAATAGACCTTCTGCCTCTTGGCTGTGACACTTAATCAATTTATAAGTAATTTTATCCCAAATTTAGCATTCTGACGAGTTGTAAACGGATAAGATGCTGTTGGTTTGACTTACCTGAGAGCTAATGCCGGTCCCGATTTCAAAATAAGAGTTCGAGATACATTTGAAATATGTGCTGTGTTCATTTCTCACGATCTGATCTGATCTAATCACAGTGATATGGATGTTAGCTCTCCAGTTCATTCTGACTGAGGTAGTTAAAATTACAGTACACTATTGTGGTAGTTTGATTACAGTTCCTATATCTGCCTATAGTATATCATTGTGTATTTTGACTGGAAGTATATCTGCTTATGTAAGACTATAATTACTTAAAATATGATTGAAAAGAATTTTACATTGTTACAAAAATAAATAAATGCTGTTTTCTTGAATGTTTTACTTCTAAAAGCATAATGAGTGAAAAGTAACAAATAATTATAATAATAAATAGGTAAAAATATATATTTATTTTATACACCTGCTAATAACATTGAAAACAGTAAGCGTTTTTGCATATTATATGACTTATTAATGCTGTTTTGAATTCAGATTTGCCATCACAGGTATTAATTATAAATATATTCACACCGACCACTTTATAGTCCCAGGTTGGACTTCTGCCTTCAGAACTGCCTTACGTCTTTGTGGCATAGATTCAACAAAGTACTGGAAATATTCCTCTGAGATTTTGGTCCATATTGACATGATAGCATCACGCAGTTGCTGCAGATTTGTCGGCTGGGATATGCGAATCCCCCATTCTGCTTCATGTTGTTGACGCCAAATTATGACCAGGCAGAAAACTAGACTCATCCGACCCAGCAACGTTTTTTCCAATCTTATATTGTCCAGTTTTAGTGAGCCTGCGTGAATTGAAGCTTTCGTTTCCTGTTCTTAGCTGACAGGAGTGGCAACCGGTGTGGTCTTCTGCTGCTGCAGCCCATCTGCCTCAAGGTTGGACGTGTTGTGTGTTTGGATATGTTCTTATGCATACCTCGGTTGTAACAAGTGTTTTTTTGAGTTACTATTGCCTTTCTATCAGTTCGAACCAGTCTGGCCATTCTTCACTGACCTCTGGCATCGACAAGACATTTGTGCGCATATCTGATGCTCACTGGATATTTTCTCTGTAAAAATCTCTATGTAAATCTTAGAGATGGTTATGCATGAAAAACCCAGTGGATCAGCAGTTTCTGAAATACTCAAACCAGCTCGTCTGGTACCAAGAACCAAGCCATGTTCAAAGTCACTTAAATCACCTTTCTTCCCCACTCTAATGCTTGATTTGAACTGCATCAGATTGTTTTGACCATGTCTACATGCCTAAATGCATTGAGTTGCTGGCATGTGATTGGCTGATTAGAAATTTGCGTTAACAAGCAGTTGGACATGTGTACCTAATAAAGTGGCTGGTGAGTGTATGTAATCAATAGTTTATAGAATAAAACACAAAATACCATGTTATTAAAAATGTTTATCAATGCCAATCTGAACATTTATGGGGTCTCTCAATTTATATATTGACCCCAAACTTAAGAATAAGAACATAGTAATGTTTGTTATCTTGTAAAGTTTAATTTTAAATGATTTTCCATAGGAGCACGTGCTCATGAGATTGAGCCAGCTGGCCCACATTAGCTAATCATGATACTCCAATCAAAGGATCCCAAGTCACTATATATATCCTGATTTCCTTTCTACAACTATATTCATCTGGAAGTAACCCCCCTCCTCCCCTCCCTTCTTTCACCTTTATACAGAATTGTATTCACCTTTATACACGGTGGCCCAATGTCTAGCACTGTTGCCTCAAAGCAAGAATACCAATGCGTCGGGTCCTCGCTGGGCCATATGGTATTTCTGTGTGGAGTTTGCATGTTCTCCCTGCGTCCACGTGGGTTTCCCCCGGGTTGCCCGGTTTCCTCCCACCATCCAAATATGCTCTATATTATAGATAAAATTAGCCTAAATCTTTTTTTTCTAATGTCTTAACCTCAGGAAGTTGACCTTGGCCTCAGCAGCAGGGGATTTTGAGATCGACCTGAGCTCAATTTCCCCTCACCCTGCGAAAGGCGGGAGCCCTGGCCCCAAAAATCCCTTGAGCTCAGGGCTCTCTCCTGGACAGCACGCCAAACAAGCCATGTATAAATCATGAGCTAAGTGTGAACTCTTGAAAGTAATTTGTGAACACCAAACCCTTTGCAATTTAATGGTTAGGTTAGTCTTTTGCATGAGGGATGAGGAGAGCTGTTTTAATAACTCATTGTGCTGCCTTTGAAAAGTGTTCCATTTGATTAAGAATGCTTCCTAATAAGACAGCAAGTTTTCATTTTGCAACAGAGCCCTTGAATCACAATTAAATGTTTTCTCAAGCATGCATCAAACCTACAAGTATGATGTGAAAAGATGCTGTTAGTGTGTCAGCAACACAGAGAAGTCATGAATAAACTCCATGCGCCAGATTATAGGAAAGGCTTGTTGCGGGAGCCGAGGGGCACCATCTCCTTTGTGTGATGACCTTATCATTGTGTGTTGTGCTTGATGGGAGGGGGGGGTCAGATGGGGGTCTTGAAAGAGGTGGTTTTGGCCGCAAGGACCTGCTGGATCAGACTGGAGGAACAGGTTGGTTCTACGGCCTCCCTGGAGTTTGTAATTATCTGTGCTCCTCTCGCTAGTGTTCACTGCCAAGGCAGGCTAGCGGCCTGCCTAGTGCTTCGCTGTGCTGCACGGGAGACAGGTGTCCTTCCAAATGCGTCAGAACGCTTCGTTCTCCAGTCCGCAACAAACCTGGGGGAGCAATGCAAGAGGAGATTCAGTAAAAGACAAGATTTTGACTGTTTCAGTTAGGGTTTAAGAGGTCATGAACTGCCTCTTTTCTATTTTGTAAAGCTCTTTAAGGTCCACTCATAATCTTTTTTCACATCTGGGTTTATAAGGGTGATGGAAATCCTTGAAAATGCTTGAATTTTAGTCAGTTTTCAAGGTTTGAAAAGTGATTCGATTTTGAATGAAGGGCTTGGAATTTCTTCAAATGTAATGGTGTTGCATTCATGATAATTTATCTTACTAAATAGGTATAAATAATTAAGTATT